TCTTGCCATATAGGACAAGTGAAAATTTGTGTATGCAATAATTTCGCCAAAATCATTCTGAACCTAACGGAAAAAATATATTTCACTGTGTTTGTTTAGTATTAAATTATTGTAAACAAATCTAAAATATATTTAGTTGAGTTAGGCTAAAATAAATTGTTCTTGTTATAATAAGGTTAGGTAAGTTTTCTAAGATTCTTTTGGTGCAAAATTATATTTTTTACATTATCATTAATGAAAAATGTATCTTTAAATGTATAAGAGAAAATTTTAGAAAGGATTTAATTTTAAATGAGTTCTTGCTAATTGACCAGTTTTACATATTCGGCACGACCCTATATTATATATATATATATTTATATATATTTTATATATATATATATATATATATATTTTATATAATATATATATATATATATATATATATATATTATATATATATAGGAGAGAGAGAGATTTTGGGAGATGTTAAGTGAATGTATAGGAGCCTTTGAACCAAGTGAAAGAGTAATTGTGGTAGGGACCTGAATGCTAAAGTAGGAGGAAAAATTTTGAGAGGGTGTGGTAGGTAAGTTTGGGGTGCCAGGTGTAAATGATAATGGGAGCCCTTTGATTGAACTTTGTTTAAAAAGGGTTTAGTTATGGTAATAAATTTTAAAAAAAAGGGAAAAATAAGTTTTTCCCATGATGTAGGGCGAGATGACAGTAGTTTTTTGGGATTATTATTGGTAGATAAAAGTGTTGAGTAGACTTCGGAGAAGTTTAAGAGGGGCCACAATATATCAGATCACTTTCTATTTGTAGCTACACTAGAGTAAAAGGTAGAGGGGATACAAGGGGAAAATAGAAGCATGGGAAAGAGGGGTAAAGGTTTAATAAAAACTAAAAGAGAGGCAGTTAGGGAAGATAAAAAACAGCTATTAGAGGTAGAGGCTAATGGAGCATGGGAAATGGGGTCAAAGAGGTTGGGGTGGGTTTAAAAAAATTTTTTAGAGTGTTCAGCAAAAGTTTTGTGGTTACGGGAAAAGGGGGTGCAGGAGGGAAAGGAGCGATTGGTGGAATGATGATGTAAAGAGAGTAGTAAGGGAGAAAAAGTTGCATATGAAAAGTTTTTACAAAGTAAAGTGATGAAAAGGGGGAAGAGTATATGGAGAAAAAGAGAGAAGTTAAAGAGAGTGGTGAAGAAATGAAAAAAAGAGAGCAAAATGAGGGGAGTGGGTGAGAGTTATCAACAATTTTTTGTTGAAAATAAGAAAAAGTTTTGGAGTGAGATTAAAAATTAAGAAAGCCAGGAACAAAGGATTTTTCATTAAAAAAATAGGAAGGAGAGTTTTTTAAATGGAGGTTAGAGGTATTGGGGAAGAGGGAAGGAATTTTTTGGGGAATTTTTAAATGTTTTATGAAATAGGGAAGCTGGATTTTGTGTATTTTGGGCAAGGAGGAATAACATTTGTAGGAGTGAGGGAAAAGCCGTTGGATGTGGGGGAAGTTGTGAGGCAGTAGGTAAAAAGAAAGGGGGTAAGGCAGCCGGGATTGTGGGAAAGTGAAATGTTAAAAGCAGGGGGGGAATTGTTTTGGAGGGGTTTGGGCAATTTTAAAAAAATGTTGGAAAGGGTTTTAAAGGGACCCAGGGAAATTTGGGGGAGCATGCTAGTTCCTTTTTATAAAAGGGAAAGGGGGTAAAGAAAGTGCAAAAAATTTTAGGGGGGGTAAGTCTGTTGAGTGTACCTGGTAAAATGTATGGTAGAGTTTAATTTAAAAAATTTAAAAGGGAAGACGGGGAAAAAGGTAGCAGTGAAACAAGGGGCTTTAGGAAAGGTGGGGGGTTTTGTGGACCAGGTGGTTTTTAGTGAAAAACATTAATGAACAGTTTTAGATTTTGGCTAAGAGGGCTTTGGTGGCTTTAGGGTTTTTGGGAAAAAGGGGTAGAGGGTGGATAGGGGGGCAAAGTGGCAGATGTTGCAAGTTATGGGGAGGAGGTAGGTTTTTTGAAGCAGTAAGAGTTTTTACGAGGTTTGAGGCTCAAGTTAGAGTAGAGGAAAGAGGGGGAATTTTTTCCCCGTAAAAAAATAGGCCTTGACAAGGATGTTGATGTCACCGTGGTTGTTTTTATTTTATAATGGGGTTGTAAAAGAAGTAAATGCGAGGGTCTTGCAAAAGGCTGGAGTTAAAAAATAAAGAACACACACAAAATGGGAGTTTTTACGTGCTCTTTGCTGATGCACTGTGCTCTTGGGAGATTTGAAAAGAAAATTGCAGGGTTGGTGGTTTTAATTTTTGGGAGGGTGTGAAAAGAAAAAATTAAAAAGGGGAATACAGGGAAAGAGTAAGGTTTGAGGATAACAAAAAAAATTGGTGTGAAAGTTGAAAATCAGATTGGAGGGGGAGAGTATGGGGGAGGTGACGTATTTGATTTTGGGAGTGACGTGTCAGCGGGGGGGTCTTGAAAGTGAGGTGAACATAGAATTGATGAGGGAAAAAAGAGTGAGTGGTGCCTTAGGAGTCTGTGGAGCAAAAACTTTGTCCTTGGAGGCAAAGAGGGGAATGTATGAGGTATAGTTTTACCAACGCTCTTTTTATGGGTGTGAAGGGTGGGTGAATGAATGTTGCAGCAAGGAAAAGGGGCTGGAGGCAGTGGAGATGTCATGTCTGAGGGCAATGTGTGGTGTGAATATAAGCAGAAAATTTTCGTAGTTTGGAAGTTAGGGGAGGTGCGGGTTACCAAAACGGGTGTCCAGAGGGCTAAAGGAAAGGGGTTGTTGAGGTGGTTCGGACATGTAGAGAGAATGGAGCGAAACAGAATGACTTCAAGAGTGTATCAGTCTGTATGGAAGGAAGGCGGGGGTGGGGTCGGCCTAGGAAGGGTTGGAGGGGGGGGTAAAGGAGGTTTTGTGTGCGAGGGGCTTGGACTTCCGCAGGCATGCGTGAGCGTGTTTGATAGGAGTGAATGGAGACAAATGGTTTTTAATACTTGACGTGCTGTTGGAGTGTGAGCAAAGTAACATTTATGAAGGGATTCAGGGAAACGGCAGGCCGGACTTGAGTCCTGGAGATGGGAGTACAGTGCCTGCACTCTGAAGGGGGGGTTTTTAATGTTGCAGTTCAAAAACTGTAGTGTAAAGCACCTTCTGGCCAAGACAGTGATGGAGTGAATGATGGTGAAAGTTTTTCTTTTTCGGGCCACCCTGCCTTGGTGGGAATCGGCCGGTGTGATAATAAAAAAAAAAAAATATATATATATATATGTTGTGTGTGTGTGTGTGTGTGTGTGTGTGTGTGTGTGTGGTGTGTGTGTGTGTGTGTTTTGTGTGTGTGTGTGTGTGTGTGTGTGTGTGCGTGTGTGTTGTGTGTGTGTGTGTGGGGTGTGTGTGTGTGTGTGTGTGTGTGTGTGTGTGTGCGTGTGTCTGTCTGTGTCTGTTTCTATATTTGTACCTGTGTATGCGTGTACGTGTGTACGTGTGTATGGTGCCTAATAAACCAAACTTGTCGAATAGGCCGAACTCCCTTAAAAATTGAACTTTTCCCAATTTTTTTTTACACATTGACAGATATATTTTTTCATTGAAAATGGTGTAAAATGTTTAATTTTTGGGCTGAACCTAACATAAATTAGCGTAACTTTTTTTTTTTTTTAGCTAAATGCTGCTATATATAACATAGGTCAATTTAAGTTCAATCAAGTGAGAGTCTGAGCTTGCTACCATCTGCAGCTCATAAGACTGCCATCCCCACGAGCCCCTTTGAGGCGGGGTAGATGGCAGACCAGAGGCCTAGCTCCTCCCTACGAGCCCCGTGAGGGCGGGGAATGTGGCTAGGCCTGGGGACACTTGGTCCCAAAGATGAGGAGGTACTTGTACCTCCTCCCATGGGAGACTTAAGTCTCGAGACACTCCCCAGATAGGGAGCCAAGGCCGGGTCACCACTACTTGGAAAAGACCCGGGCCGGGAGAATACCGGTGAATAAAAAAAAAAAAAAAAAAAAAGTTCAATCAATATTTTCCCATATCAATGATATACATTTTTTTTGTCGTAAGGTTCAGATTGAATTCCGCTGATTTGTGTGCAGTAATATGTGAACACCTCTTCGGCAGAACCTGAACTTTTCGGTGCTTGTATGTGAAGGGCAAAGAGGCAAGACTAGGTGACTGCCGTGTGGTAGTGTGAACCACTACTTGATGTGAACCTTGAACCACTACTTGATGTGAACCTTGAACCACTACTTGATGTGAACCTTGAACCACTACTTGATGTGAACCTTGAACCACTACTTGATGTGAACCTTGAACCACTACTTGATGTGAACCTTGACCGCTTAGGAATTCTTTGTTGAAGTCTTACGTGTTGTGCAATATCAATTGAACCGCCTGCTTAGTTCTCACTATCTTAGTTCAGTAATTTGAACAATTAGACATATGTCTAATTCTTCAACTCGTCTGTATTATGTACTACCAATGTTTAGTTCAGTAAAGCTGTAATATTTTAGTGTGCTACAGATGCGCTTCACCTACATACAGTACTTACGATTGCCACAGTATGACTTGCAGTCACTACAAACTGAGGTCTTACAGCTTCTGACAACTAATTGATATTCATCTGAAACCTTAACATGACCTTGATTATAACGATCCTTCTTCAGACTGGATTTTAGTATTACCTGAAAATAAATAAATATATATATATACTGATCTCTGGCTGAAGGAGACTTGAACCTACGAACCTTAGGACAAGGTACGCAGTGCTTTACCTATCTACCCACACCAGTGTGGGTAGATTGGTAAAGCACTGCGTACCTTGTCCTAAGGTTCGTAGGTTCGAGTCTCCTTCAGCCAGAGATCAGTGTTTGTGTATATTTCGCATGCTCTCGCGAATTCCTTGCATATATATATATATATATATATATATATTATTCTTCCTTCCTTAAAATGTAGCAATGATTGTCAATGGCTTCATTCTTAAGATCTGTGTGTGTTAAAGCCACAGGAAACAATTAAACAATAATATAATTTGAGTAGGTATGATTCACAAAATTAGACACCTGTATTTGTCACATCTCATATAAATTAATCAGTCGGAAAAAGTAAATATTATAATATGTAATAAGCAAGAAGTTTACAAAGTTATATGTAGCCAATGAATTACACTAAGTATATAAAGACTGGAGCTTGAAGGGGGAAAAGCAGTGCTGTCATGATTGTAATTTCATGGTGGGGAATAAAGACCAGATGGTGTGGACACACCTAAGCTGCTGTCACTAAGGTCAACTCCATTTCCGCCTCCAACGCTACCAAGACCGATACCAAATTCTCCTCCAGTGCCTCCAAGGGCGCCGATAACCTCACCACTACCATGAGCTGCAGCGCTGAGGGCAGATTGGAGATCGTCTCCTGTGGGAAGATTCGGGTTGTCACCTTCAGCATAGTTAACGAAGTATACTTGAGGAGTTTGTTGTTCAGGAGCTGGGACGAGGACGACCTTCTGCTCCACTTCAGGCCGCTGGTTGAGGACATACACAACATTTTTCGTTTGAGGTGGTGGTACAATAATGGGATCTGGACCTGGGCCGACTTCTGGGGTCCGGATGAATAAAAGGGTTTGTTCAATCCTTGGTGGAGGAACAATTGGTCTGGGACCTACAATTGGATCTACTGGAGGAGCATTATACAAGTACAAGTTTCTGGTTACAAGAGGAGTCACACAATTTCCATCCACATGACGAATCTGTCCATTTGCACAACCATTTCCAAAGATGCCTGAGTCACCTGGTCCAGGTGATGGTAAACCGTAGCTCCGAAGCGAGCCGGCTGCTGCAGCCGCAATCATGCAGGCGAGTACCTGAAGAAGAATTGTAATGTTATTAATAAGAGTTTTGCAGTGTGGACATTTTATATAAGGCAATATAGTAACAACTACCTTACGAAATATATTTTTCTTTATTTTGGACACGTACCAACTACAATTTAAAAATATATTGTGTTTATTCATGATAATTGTGCAGTAGGGAAATTACGCTGCGCCTGTTGCTAACATTATTATAGTTGGGGAGAGACATATGGAGGTTCTTCTCAGTAATTATCGTATTCTGGCTCTGGAAACATTGACTTATGCTATTTTTCAAAATTAATCCTAGTTTAGTTGAAAATGTAATTTTTTTTTTTTTTTACGCAGAGATGCCATCTGCAAATCAGTGGGCATAATTATTTAAAAAATGTTTTTTTTTCACATCCGAATGAGTGACTGATAATTGTACTTGTCATGTTACTAAAGTTAGGGATGGTTATGCGGGTGTTTGATGACTGTGATGGATCATTTATTACTTGAGAAAGTCTCATCCGATCAATTTTAAATATACTAGTGAACTGTGGAAAAGTTCAAGCAAATACTGCCATATGCACAAGCCTTCTGGTCAGTCTTATAGTGACCAGTCCTGATGTCATTTCCGCGTGATAACTAGAGAAACAATCTTTTGATCGACGTCAAACTTTCAGCACTGGAATTGTTAATGAACTGGAATTGTTAATGAACTATGTTGATGAAAATTTGCTAATTTTATGTTTAGAAAAGCTTCGATTTTCCTTAAATATGCCTGGTTTGAATGGCATCATTCGTTAATAGCTGATATAGCTTACTTGAAAAAATGGTGACCTATAGGTTTAGATGTGTAGATGTAAATTTTACAGTACATTAATAAAGCTAAAAGCTTGGAAGTGCGATAACTGAAGACTGTCTCTCCTGGCCAAAGTCAAAGGTTTGTATTGTTACTGGCCATGTAAATTCCAATATACTAATTTTATTAAACAAACCGATATTGATTTCCATGCAGGAACTGGAGAATGTAACTTCTGAGTTGCTTCAAACCTTATTACGTTATTAAACTTAACCAGTTTAATAACGTAATAAATTTGGAATTGTTGGATATCGTGCAATAACTAGGGAATGCCTCTTATGGTCAGTTTTTAACTTTCAAAATTAGTGTATCTTAAAGGATTTCTTTAATGGGAGTTGTAGCTGCGAAATTGATATTTCTCTTAATACAATTTTTGGAATATCGTGCTTAAATCTATCAGGTTACGAAATTTCAAAGACCTTAACAACATTTTACACCTTGACTACTTAACTTTTCGCTAATTTGCTTTAGCCAATTGTTATCTTAAACTTTCAAGAAATTTTAGGGTTATTAAAATATATATTATTTTTTTTAATGCTATGGGCTATGCTGTGTCTTTTTTATATATAAAAAAATAGCTTGCACGTGTTTCTTAAAATCAATTTATTGGTTTGTGTGAGGTAAACGGGAGAACAACAACCCTCACTGAGAAGCCAGTCTAACAACAGCTGGTGTGTTGCTAAATTCTACGGGAAACGCCTGCCAGGCATCGTCCAGGGTGGACTTGGTCTGGTTGTATCACACATACACACACACACACACACACACACACACAGCGAAGAGGCGGGGCCAGGAGATGTGACTCGACTCTTGCAACCACAAATAGGTGAAAAGAAATAAGTGAGTACACAGACACATAAATATGGCCTACAGAATTCTCCAAGGCCAATGGTATTAACGATTGGACAGACATTTTTCTTAACAAATTACTTAGACTATACAACAAACACTGTCCTATAAAAACGAAACAGATCACGAATAAACGGCTTGGTTGCCCATAGTTAACCAGCAGCATTCTGAAATCCATTGATAAGAAACACCAATATGAAAAGCAATATAGACAGGGCTTAATACACAAAGATATTCTTAAACACTATTCATCAGTTCTCACCAAAGTAATAAAGAAAGCCAAACAACTGTACTACTCAAGCAGATTCACTGACACAAGAGGAGATATAAAAAAGACCTGGAAAACACTCTCTCTGATTCTAGGGACCCACAAACTGAGAAAAACCAAGAATATTGTTCCAACTAAACCTAATGAAACACCACTACATCCCACTGATACAGCTAACAAGATAAACGACTTCTTCTCAACCATAGGATCTAATCTTGCCAGTAAAATCCCACGTACCAACGCCCATGCCGGGGACTATCTAGATGGAAATTTCCCAGATTCCTTCTATCTTGTACCAACTGAGCCCACGGAAGTCACTGAGATTATAGTCACTTAAAAATAACTCAGGGAACCTGTCTCATGTCCCACCATTACTGTACAAGCGAGCGGCCCATGTCCTTTCGCATGCTATTTCATTACTTTTTAACAAGTCACTAGAAACTAGCACCTTCCCGAAACTACTCAAGATGGCAAGGGTTACACCAATACATAAAGGTGGTGACCCTACAGACTTAAACAACTATAGGCCAATATCAAACTTACCATTGCTATCCAAAATCTTCGAGAAACTCGTGCACAGGAGACTGTATTCATTTATAACGGCACAAAACATACTCAACCCCTGCCAGTTTGGATTCAGGAAAAATAAAAGCACTAATGATGCAATTGTAAAAATGCTAGATCTGCTTTACACAACACTGGAAAATAATGAATATCCGCTAGGAATTTTTATTGACCTAAGAAAAGCTTTTGACACAGTAGACCACGGCATCCTACTCCACAAACTTAACCATTATGCTATAAGAGGCCATGCGCTTGCATATTTCAAATCCTACCTTATTAACAGGTATCAGCATGTCACCATTAAAGACACAGCATCATCAACACGGCCACTTGATACTGGAGTTCCGCAAGGAAGTGTTCTTGGACCCCTGCTCTTCCTCATTTACATCAGTGATCTCCCAAACGTATCCCAACAGCTGACGACACGACTTATGTCATCTCTCACCCTAATCTTACCACCCTCAACACCATTGTTAATGAGGAGCTGCTCAAAATATCAACTTGGATGACAGCCAATAAACTTACACTTAACACTGACAAAATCTACTATATTATGCTTGGTAGCAGAGCAGGTGCTGCACAACTAAACATTAAGATCGACAGCACTCTAATTGCCAGACATAATGAGGGCAAATTCCTAGGCCTATACCTCGACAACAACCTGAATTTCAGCACCCATATCCAACACATCATAAAAAGTATCCAAAACAGTTGGGATCCTCTCCAAGATACGATACTACGTGCCGCAAAATGCCCTTCTCACACTATACCATTCACTCTCTTATCTATACCTCTCCTATGCTATTTGTGCTAGGGGATCAACTGCAGCAATACACCTAAAGCCAATAATAACTCAACAAAAAGCCACAGTAAGAATAATCACTAAATCCCATCCCTGGCAACACCTTCCCCCCACTCTTTATAGATCTAAACTTACTCCCTGTTCAGAACATCCACACTTACTACTGTGCAATCAACATATACAGGACCTTAAAATCCAATATTAACCTTGACCTAAAATGATTTCTTGATAATTGTGACAGGACCCACAAGCATAACACCAGACACAAACATCTCTACGACATTCCCCGTGTCCGACTAAACCTTTACAAAAATTCAATGTACGTCAAAGGCCCTAAAATCTGGAACATCCTACCTGAAAACTCTAGAACTGCATACACATTCATCACCTTCAAAACTACCGTTAGAAAACATCTTATCTCCCTGATACACCCCGTCAACTAACTACATAAAAACCACCTGGTGGTTCACACTTACACTCACTCACTCACACATTTGACTATAAGCACAGAAATACGTATCTTAATCTTAAAATAATGATTCCTAACTAGTCTCAAGTTTGCCTGTGATACTCCAATATAGAAACTATGTATTGTGCCAAAACAAAAGCATTCACATTTCTAAACTCACAAACTAGTATTTAGTCACTTTGTATTCAGTCAACTTACTCCACAATTTGTAATAATTTAGAGTTAAGAATTAATCTAAGTTTGCCCGAAAGGTCTAGCCATGCTAGGTGTTCCAGTGGCCCCCTCTGTAATTAGTATTTTATTACATGTAAACCACACAATAACCAAAATCTGTAAACCCCGCATTGTAATCCTTATAGAGAATAAACTTTGATTATAATATATATATATATATATATATATATATATATATATATATATATATATATATATATATATATAAACATATATATATTATTGTAACCACGGACGAGTGGTGTTGATCAATAACAACACTGCGCTAGCGAAGGATTCGAACCCATGTTGTACTGACCTGCCTCATGGTAAGCGAGAACCACATGACGCTTTATACCACAGGACCACCCAACCCTACAAGAATGCCTCAGCCAGCAGAGCTAGCTGTTGGGCCGCCATCCGAGGGCATACGGAGGTGTGGGAGCTTCTAAGCCAATTTCATTCTCATCCCTATTTGGTGTACTAGCCTCACGAGCAGCATTTATATATAATATATAATAGTATATATAAATGAATAACATATATAATTATTGCTCGTGAGGCTAGTACACCAAATAGGGATGAGAATGAAATTAGCTTAGAAGCTCCCACACCTCCGTATGCCCTCGCATGCTGGCTGCGCCATTTTTGTAGGGTTGGGTGGTCCTGTGGTATAAAGCGTCATGTGGTTCTCGCTTACCATGAGGCAGGCCAGTACAGCATGGGTTCGAATCCTTGGCTAGCGCAGTGTTGATATATATATATATATATATATATATATATATATATATATATATATATATATATATATATATATATATAAATATAGGGAGGTACCACCTCTAGAACTGTCATGGGGACCCTCATCCTCAGAGAAAAGAATAAACTTGCTTCAGGGAAAACTCAAGATTCTCCCTGAAGCTGTTTGAGAATTTTCTCCTACCACCCCCTATATTATGTATATATATTTTATTTAAAGACAAAATACATTGACGAAACATTCACAAAAATATGATACAAAGTAAAACAACATAGGTAACTCAGAGCTACATCTCGAATACTTCGTCCAGCTCCCCTGCGGTGGGCCGCGTGCCCAGAATGCTGCAGGCATTTCCTCTCTGGATCGCAACACTGAGTCTCTGAAAGAGGAAGCTGGTCGCCCTGTGGTCCTTGGTTTCTGTGATGAGCTTTTCACCCAGCTCTTTGAGGAACTTTAGAGCACACTTGCCCCATGCTCCAAGGGTCTCCGACCCTATTGGAATGAAGTTATAGCAAGGGGGAAGGTCTTCATATTTTCGGATCTTCTGGGTCTCCCTGTGGCTGGCAGCTCCACCCCCTTCCACTACAGAGTATGGCAAGTAGGTGTCTGCCAATGTGGCAGCACAGGTGTAGTCCCAGGCAATCTGCTTTCCATCCTTCCAGGGTAGCATAGTGGCTCCATCAGGACGCTTTTGACTTCCATCAGACCTCTGTACTTGGGGTTCCCGTTGAGCTGGGGAACGGGCTGTGGCGAGGCTTCTCTTTATTATGTCATTGATCTCCTCATGTCTGGCATACTTCCCTTCTGCTGTGTGACACACGAGACCATGGAGTCCGAATTGATCAGCTGTCGCCCTGCCGCAAATACACCTATGTTCGGTGAGGATGGGGGCGGCTAGGCGAAGAGCAACACCAATCCGAATGGCCTGTGGGTCGAGACGGGTGCCCAGGGAGGAATTGGGAACAGCTAACAGGAAATCTCCTGAGTGTGGTGCCTTCACTGCCAGGAGACGAGCTTTGTTCTTTCCTGAAGCATTGGAGAGCATTGTGTTGGCGATTTTTTCCATGATCGGTTTGTCCCAGTGGGACTGTTTGTGCTGTTTGGGAGGAGCTGGTCTACTGGAGGAGTCTGTAAGGGTGTCCCACCGAATTGCTGCTTCAGTAAACCTGGGGTCTTGAGCTCCTACCAAGTCTCTCAAGCGTTCGGGCACTATCTTCTTGACTAATGCACTGGAAGCCAAACACGAAGACAGAAAAGCAGGTAACGCAACATGCGTTGCTTTACGCACCCCAATACCTCCCAGTCGCACTGGGAGGGTTGCCTGATCCCATTGCTCATCCTCTAGTGACAGGTTCAGTGCCTTCTTAAAGTTGATCTCAGGTGTGCGTCATATTCATCGAGTGTTGGGTTGTCAAAAGAGGGTGCACACCTCAAGAAGTAAGTGAGTCTTGGCATAGTAAGACACCTTGTGAGGAGATACAGAGCATCATGGGCATCAAGATCGCTTATTCTCTCCTCCATTCTCATAAGGTCATTCAATTTGTCCCTGAGGACAGTATCGATGGCCTGGTGACCCAGCGGTGCCCCCAAGAGGGTACATATATTTATATATATATACATGTATATATATATATATATATATATATATATATATATATATATATATATATATATATATATATATATATATATATATATATATATATTATATATATATATATATATATATATATATATATATATATATATATGTTGTGCCGAATATGTAAAACTGGTGAATTAGCAAGACCTCATTTAAAATTAAGCCCTTTCTGAAATTTTCTCTTACACGTTTAAAGATATATTTTTTTCATTATTGTTAATGCAAAAAATTTTTAATTTTGCACCAAAAGAATCTTAGAAAACTTACCTAACCTTATTATAACAAGAGTAATTTATTTTAGCCTAACCCAACTAAGTATATTTTAAATACGTTTACAGTAATTTAGTACTAAACAAACACAATCAAATATATTTTTTTTCGTTAGGTTCAGAATAATTTTGGCGAAATTATTGCATACACAAATTTTCACTTGTCCTATATGGCAAGATGAGCGTTGCTATTTAAGCAAAGATGGCAAGTTCTGCCTATTCGGCACGCCATATATGCAGTGAAGGCACCACACTCAGGAGATTTCCTGTTAGCTGTTCCCAATTCCTCCCTGGGCACCCGTCTCGACCCACAGGCCATTCGGATTGGTGTTGCTCTTCGCCTAGCCGCCCCCATCCTCACCGAACATAGGTGTATTTGCGGCAGGGCGACAGCTGATCAATTGGGACTTCATGGTCTCGTGTGCCACACAGCAGAAGGGAAGTATGCCAGACATGAGGAGATCAATGACATAATAAAGAGAAGCCTCGCCACAGCCCGTTGCCCAGCTCAACGGGAACCCCAAGTACAGAGGTCTGATGGAAGTCAAAAGCGTCCTGATGGAGCCACTATGCTACCCTGGAAGGATGGAAAGCAGATTGCCTGGGACTACACCTGTGCTGCCACATTGGCAGACACCTACTTGCCATACTCTGTAGCGGAAGGGGGTGGAGCTGCCAGCCACAGGGAGACCTAGAAGATCCGAAAATATGAAGACCTTCCCCCTTGCTATAACTTCATTCCAATAGGGTCGGAGACCCTTGGAGCATGGGGCAAGTGTGCTCTCAAGTTCCTCAAACAGCTGGGTGAAAAGCTCATCATAGAAACCAAGGACCACAGGGCGACCAGCTTCCTCTTTCAGAGACTCAGTGTTGCGATCCAGAGAGGAAATGCCTGCAGCATTCTGGGCACGCGGCCCACCGCAGGGGAGCTGGACGAAGTATTCGAGATGTAGCTCTGAGTTACCTATGTTGTTTTACTTTCTGATGTATTTTTGTGAATGTTTGGCCAATGTATATATATATTATATATATATATATAATATATATATATATATATATATATATATATATATATATATTATATATATATTATATATATATATATATATATATATATACTATATAATATATATATATATATATATATATATATATATATATATATATATATATATATATATATATATATATAATATTTATATTATTTATATTATTATATATTATATATATATATATATATATATAGTATAGGGCGGTTATAAAATTCTAACGTAGCAAACATATAATATGTATGTAGGTGACTTTATATTAATGTGTATTGTAAGTGTATGTATAAATTTATTATATATATATATATATATATATCAATGACAACACTTCGGCTAGCGGAGGATCGACCATGTTGTTTTAGCCCACCTTATGGTAAGCGAAAATTCACGACGCTCTAAGCCACCAGGCCTTACAATCCTAAATGGTAGGATTGTATGGTCCAGTAGTTAAAAGCGTCGTGAATTTTCGCTGGCCATGAGGTGGGCTAAAACAACATGGGTCGATCCTCCGGCTAGCCGAAGTGTTGTTATTGATATATAGTATGTATATATATATAATATATATATATATACATACACTTACATATACACATTAATATAAAGTCACCTACATACATATTATATGTTGCTACGTTAGAATTTTATAACCGCCCTATACTCAGGTGCTTGCACTGAGGTACGGGAGGCTGTTGTCTTGGGGTACTGGGGATGCCTTTCTCGTATCGTTTAGAAATCGATACAAGTCTAATTAAATACGAAAATGCACTTTAATTTGTACAGTATGGATCAGAGAGCATTGTAGGATATTTGTAGCTGTCCAGTCAGTGTGATCTTGAGGACTAGGGTTCTCATAACTCGGGAGTTCTCAGTCTTTCCTCCTTATATTCTCTGTAGAGAAAAATCTTATGTTATTGTTTTTGTATGTAGTAGTCTACGAGGCCTTTCCGTTGCTATTAGTGCAATCAAAGTATTTGCAATAAATCCCTCGGCCGTTTTTCCAGGACGTACATTACAACTAAACGAAATTTCTAATTTTCGAAGCAACGCAGATCTCCGCTGGTGAAAAAAAAAAATTATTATTTCAGGAGGGAATAAACACTTTTTGGTAAGCTGTTAACGGAGTCTTGTACTATCATAAGAGTAATGCCGTAATAAGTTTCTAAAGACCTCTCCGCCCCTTTAGAGGAACATAATAGAATGAACACCGTGAGTGTCAAGTTCACCGTCTCGTCATCACATACTAGGGGATCCTCTCCTTACCGAACTGGTAAACAACACTGGTACTATGAAAATACTTTATAGCAGTGAGAAGCACCTAAACACACAACACAAGATGTTAAGAAAGACTTGAAGGGGCACTCACCAGGAGCCTCATGATGAAATGTGGTGCTTAGGCCAGGTGATCTCCGGCTTTATATAGCAGTGCTGACAGGTTAGCCTTGAATGTACTGTCTCCCATAGCTGGCGTTCCTGCCCTCGTTCTCCTTTCACATTATCCTGTTACATAAACACTACAATCACGGTCACCATCTCACTCACTAACGGGAAAATATACATAGATTAGGAGAAAGATTAGTCCAAGAGCTGATTAGGCTATGATCTATGGGGAGAGATTGATTAAAGGAACTAAATCTGATAAAATTAGAAGACGGAAGGATCAAGGAAGACATAATACGGCATAAAATACTCCGAAGAACTTGTAGCGTCAACTGTGATAAATAGTTACAGAAAAAAATGGGATAACATTCTCCCAAAGTATCCCCTCCTCCTCCTCCTCCTCCTCCTCCTGCCAAGGTCACGTGCAAGCATTGTTTTCGAGACCGGTGGAGACCCTGGTGGAGGAAGGGCACTGCTAGTACCGCTAGTAGTGAACTCCTAACTCCAGTTAAATGTTCTTTTTTTGGGAATATTAATTAGTTGTATTATTTTAATTATTATTATTATTATTATTAGCAGTAGTAGTAACAGTAGTATTTTAATTCTGATAGCTTTTATTATTGCTATTCTGCTTTTAAAAATATAAAATTTATTTTATCATCCAATTTACTTTTGTCATTGTTAAGTATCATGTGTCTCTCTTTATGTATCTTTACTAATTTTTATTTATACAGCGTCCCTGAATCTCTTCCTTAGCGCTTCTCATTCTGTAAGGTGTCCTGTAGCTCGGTCGCTGTCACATTTAGCTCACACACTGAGGTATGCGGTTCAATTCTCCGGTACGGAAGGAAAACATGAGGATATGTTTCCTTATGGCACCTGCTGTCCATGTTCACCCATCAGTAAAATGGGTACCTGGGTGTTAGTTGACTGGTGTGGGTCGCATCCTGGGACAAAAATTATCCTAATTTGCCCGGAATGCTCTACATAACAAGGGGCTTTATATTTAGTACGATAGGTATGATGAGAAGTCATTTCCTACAGAGGAAACCTATTTTATAATGTTTTACCTTTTATAAGGAGTTTGGTTAAATTAGGTTCAGTTTGTCAGGAAATAGAACAATTGTCTCCTGACGCTGGTCTTAGTCATATGATGACTCGCCACAGGAGCTTTTGGTCATCTGACCGAGGTCTTCCACTGGTTTACCAGTCCAACCCTTTGAAATTTAAGGAGTGAAACGATATACGAGTCAAGAAGTGAGTTTAGGTGTTATCCGTGTCAGTGATCTGAGTGGCAGGCAGCGTCAGCTGCAGCAGGCGAGGGAGAGATGATCATCCCTGGAGACTTTTAAAAACCCACGCAAGACGAGTGTAGCCAATAATTTAACAATGAATGTTTTTTTTTTTTTTTTTTTTTTTCGCCGGTATTCTCCCGGCCCGGGTCTTTTCCAAGTAGTGGTGACCCGGCCTTGGCTCCCTATCTGGGGAGTGTCTCGAGACTTAAGTCTCCCATGGGAGGAGGTACAAGTACCCCCTCATCTTTGGGACAAACTGTCCCCAGGCCTAGCCACATTCCCCGCCCTCACGGGGCTTGTAAGGAGAAGCTAGGCCTCTGGTCTGCCATCTGCCCCGCCCCAAAGGGGCTCGTGGGGATGGCAGTCTTATGAGCTGCAGGTGGTAGCAAGCTCAGGCTACACACAATGAATGTTGATTCAAAATGTCCTCTAGAGTTTGATTTTTCATAATAATGTGTATAGGGGCTTTCTATATAGTAGTATGTCATTGATGTCAGCTAGGCCTGTATACCTTGTACATGTACTTGTAATAAATAAAGATATTATTGTTATTATTATTTATAACAAAGGCGTTATTCTGATTGTATATTTTACATGGTCGAGGAGTCTGGTGTGTAGGCTTCGTGACGTTTCTCTGAAGTCGAGTCTGTCACACCATCCTCATGGGACCTTACACACCTGACTGTGTGTTTTAATGGCGGTTGGCATTTAATTCAGTCAGTTCACGCGAGGCTTTAGATGTTATGACTGAGACATTAGTATCACTTTATTTAAACCCATGACTATATTGTCGGCTACGCAACCAGTAGGTAAAATGATGAATAGGCTGTTGTCGGTGCTGTCTCCTAGGGTTATTAAGCCTCTGCTGTACTTTTCGTCCGCAATCTAAAATGAAGTAAGACGGAAACTTGTTTTTAGTGAATGTGTTAGCAATAATATCTATCACACTCGTATCTCAGCTATAAATAAAAAAAAACAGTGAAAAAAGTGAATGATCGTCTTTAATGATAGGTTTCTGTAGACCTGAAGTCTGAAGGTGTTTTGGACTTTGATGTTTGACATTGCCATTCCTTAATGACAAATTTCTCATTATGCACAAATGCAAACAAAAAACGATTATTCACGTATAACTATCATCATTTACACTCCATCTGTATTTACATTCATTTAAATTTACACATGTATAATTTTACCTGACGTGATTAATTGTGTGCCCGAGTGTAGCCAAACAATTCTTAGATTTATCCTCGGGAAGTATCACGCTCTGTTTGTGCAGTTATAATGGTTAATCTGTGGTTCGTTAGCCAGCATGTTTGTTGCATTAGGTTCAGCGGTTCTCCTCAAGGGAGGTTCTTTGGTGCCAGTCAGGGGCTCTTAATCCAAGGAATTGGACTTGCCCTCCCCTTCCTTGGAGTGAACCTAAATGCCTCCCAGGCACTATATGACCCCTATGGGTTTAGTGCTTCCCCCATAAATATAACAATAGATTCAGCGGTTAGACTGTGCATCGCATTAGTTACATTGACTTAGTTTTATAGTGCTATAGTTACGTTGGTCACCTTCATCTGCATTAGTTACATTTATTTGTTACGTTTCACTTAAGATAGCAGATAAGTGTTGGTATTATTTCCAGGCAGGTATGTGTATAGTGTATATAAATGCCTAGTTTAGATATAAACATATACACTGTAGATATAAATTAATTTCATACAGAAATCATATATTTTTTCCGCATTTTATGAAAAAGTATTTATATCATTATAATATTTACATTCATTATTAGTAGCTTGGACTTCCAGCAGGCATGCATGAGCGTGTTTGATAGGAGTGAATGGAGACAAATGGTTTTTAATACTTGACGTGCTGTTGGAGTGTGAGCAAAGTAACATTTATGAAGGGGTTCAGGGAAACCGGCAGGCCGGACTTGAGTCCTGGAGATGGGAAGTACAGTGCCTGCACTCTGAAGGAGGGGTGTTAATGTTGCAGTTTAAAAACTGTAGTGTAAAGCACCCTTCTGGCAAGACAGTGATGGAGTGAATGATGGTGAAAGTTTTTCTTTTTCGGGCCACCCTGCCTTGGTGGGAATCGGCCAGTGTGATAATAAAAAAATAATTATTAGTAACAAGAGGACAGTTGCAAATTAAGAGAAAAAATACATAACGCTCAGTCATTCGCAAATCTGTCAGCAAGAAACTAAGAGTTACTGAATTGGTTAATTTTGTAATGGACGAAAGTAGATTAAGTGCCCCACCACAAGTGAGAGTATTAAGCCTATTAGATTCTGAGAGATAATGTGAAAATACCTCTTTAGACTAATCTAAGTCTGTAAATTCTTGTTTGTGGCAGCCACGAGGTAGTACACACGGTCACTGTCAAGCCCTACTGTCCATTACTGATACTATTATGTGAACACTGAACATTTACGAATGTTTAGTGGATTATGTTGCGTTTAATGTCAATATTTACTGCCTGCTTTATAAAACAATATAAATGTTCTTGTTATTATAGTTCAAGAAAGCTGCCACATTCATTTGAGTGTTGCATAAATCTTACACCCATACACACAATACTCATGGTTAGGTAAGATTTGTCAGGAAAACCGAAAAGTGTCTCTTGACATGGCTCTTAGTCATATGATGACCTACCACTGGAGCTTTTCCACTGGCTTACCGGTCCACCACTTTAAAAACTGATATTACGCTACAGTACTCACGTCTGCAATACTACAACACTCAATTATGCTGAATCAGAAAAACCTAACTTAACACTGAGTTTGAACACACTTCTATAATTTAGATTTTGACTGGATATTTGTTTATAAAGTTGATGTGAACGTTTAAGTTATTCAGACATTCTCAAATGAAGTCCATATTTATTCCATATTAAATACTGTGATTCCGAGTTACCTGGTTTAGTGAGCTGAGACCAGTGGAGGATTATTCTCTCTTCCTTATGATCTATGTTCATTAAAGCCACAGGAAACAATTAAACAATAGTATTATTAGATATTTATTTATTTTAGCTATAATTTGCAAAGATATTCTGTTTACCAGAATATATAAATTTTATAATGTATAATAAGGTTAGAATGTTATATGAAGTCATGAGAATTAGAATGACTGGAACCAAAGGAAAGTAACAGTGCAGTCATGATTTTAAGTTCATGGTGGGGAATATAGACCAGATGGTGTGGGCACATCGATGCCACTGTCGCTACTCACACCCTCTCCGATGCCACTTGCAATATCACCTCCAAAACCGTTTCCAGTGTTACTTCCAATACCATTCTCACTGCTTGCAATTCCTTCAATAATGTCAATTTCAATGTCTCCTGCAGTGTCACTGGCTGTGCTGATAACTTCACCGCTACCATAAGATGCTGAGCTGAGAGCAGATTGAAGATCGTCTCCTGTGGGCAAAGTTGGGTTTTCACCTTCAGCATAGTTGACGAAGTACACTTGAGGAGTTTGTTGCTCAGGAGCTGGGACATGGAGGACCTTCTGCTCCAGTTCAGGCCGCTTGTTGAGGACGTACAGTGCGTAATTTGTTTGAGGTGGGGGCACAACAATGGGTTCCAGACCTGGGCTGGCTTCAGGGTTACTAATGAACAGAATGGTGTGTTCAATCCTTGGTGGAGGAACAATTGGTTGGGGACCTACGATTGGATCTACTGGCGGAGCATTATACAAGTACAAGTTTCTGGTTACAAGAGGAGTCACACAATTTCCATCCACATGACGAATCTCTCCATCTGCACAATCATCTTCAGAGCTGTCGGAGATGCCTGAGCCACCTGGACCAAATGACGGGAGACCATAGCTCCGAAGCGAGCCGGCGATTGCAGCCGCAATGAAGCAGGCGAGTATCTGAAACAGAATTGAAATTATATCAGTTACATTTTTTCCTTGTGGACATTTTATATAATCTAATATACTAATAGCTACCTCGCAGAGCAAATGTTTCGTTCGATCGTGTTGCACCAACAACATTTTTCTAGTATGGATTCACCTTAATATATAGTGTCCCATCAGTCTGGAGCCATAGGATCGTCGAGGGTCTGAGGAATGACTAGCAAAGAGCTCCGATCTCTCCGTTGGATTGTAACCAACGAAACAAGCCTAGTTAAATTGAAAAAAATGCACTTGAATTTGCAGTATATGGACCAAAGTACAGTACGTCATTTTAGTTAAACTTATAGCTGTCCCGCCGGTGTGGTCTTGACAACCAAGGTCCTCATAACTCCGAGATACTGAGTCTTTCCTCCTTACATTCTCTTGGGTTGAGAGGCATCTTTTATTTCGTGTGAAATAACTAGGCGTGTTTGATGCCCGATGACCTGTCACCATAACACAGCACAGCTTTTGGTTATTATTAGTGTAATAAAAGCATTTACTTCAAACACTTCTGTCCTTGCCAGTACTGCAACAATAATAAACGACATTTCAAACGTACCATGTAATTGATGAAATAAACTTATTTCGGTAGCGTAACAAACTGACTTTCTGGTTGGTTAACACAGTCTAATATCATCACAATAGCATACAATAACAAAATTCTTTGGGCCTCTCTGCCCCAGTAAGTGACATTATTTAACAGAATGAACCCCGTAATTGTCCTATGTTCATCGCTCACCAACACCTAGTTAACCTCTTAACACACTGACGAAGAGATCCTCACTGTATTAAACCCGTCAGCAACGTCGGTAATTAGATAATACTTGACAACATTGAGAAACACTGAAATTAACAAAGACCTGAAAAAGCACTCACCAGGAGCTTCATGATGGAGTGTAGTGTTTAGGCTTGGCGAGCGTGCTCTTTATATAACAGACTCGTAACCGTACAAGCTAGCCTTGAGTCTCCTGTCTCCCATAGTTTGCGTTCCTAGCCTCGTTCTCCTTTCACATTATCCTGTTACATAAATATAGAGACGCACTGGCACGGTCACCACCTCACCTAATTATGCTTTTGGTGTACACAGCCCTGATACAGAACCCACACCTTAGACGAAATATCAAGAACCGAGATAAAATGCAGTGGTTATTGTAGAGCTATTCTTAGAGCTAAGGGGTACTAGCTATGAGGAGAGACTAAAGAAACTGCCTCTGATTACATTAGAGCATAGAAGAATCAGGAAAGACATGATAACGACGTGCAAAGAAAAACTGACAGGCGAAAAGTGGTTCAGTTGGAGATTAAAGACACAGATAAGTCACAAGGATGTTAGGAAATATTTTTTGAGACTGAGTGCTCAAAAAATGGAATGACCTGGACGATTTTCCAATGCATGATCACATAAACTATTTAGTCGACTCTGACGATACACATTTGATTTCAGCACATTTCTGCCTCTTCCCAGAGTACTGAAAGAGCGTTGTGTCTGCAACCATAACTGGAAGAGTTGAAAGAGTACAAAATATTCTCGGTACAATGATTTTACTTTTAAATTAAGCCTGAAGCTGTCAGGGATATAAACTGTTCAGTAGTTGGAAATCTAGTAAGTGATTTTCCTGACATGTTCAGTGAATACTTTTTCAGTGCTCTAATTCCGTCATAAGATCTCCGGACATATAGATGCTATATTTACTACAAAGATTTTTAGTCTCAGTGTTCTTACTATATCAGTGCTTCCACAAAGCACTGAAATTTAACTAAAATTCTTACACTGCCTAATACCTCCTTGTCATGCTCCCAATAAGCCAACCCAGAAAAACTTTAAAATACATTAGTCTTGAATTGATTTTCTGGGATTATTTCTGTATTTTTTCTGTCATTTTCTACCATTTTTGTCTGCAAACCTCTTCCTAACCTTCAGTCTATTTTTCTGATAATAATGTTATACCAAAGGTTTCATTAACAAACTAACATTCTGGTAAAATTACATCCAAGTTATTTCTTAAATGATCAAGATCCACCATTAAGCTTTCTAAGTTTTAAATATTTATGTTCATTGTTGAACTTCTGATTTCCTGAGTTTTGTTTCTGTAGTCAATGTTTACTGGAGTGTAGCTCAGGAGGCAGCCAGTGTCTGCCGCCGGGAAATTTACTTGACAAATCGGTGTGCCAATAACTAGGAATATTGCAAGAGATTCAGATTATTTATCACAAAGGAACCAAAAATAAAATATAAAGAAAAAACACAAGGGCAAAGAAGCTTTTATTGATACGCCCTGATGCTCTATGTAGAGCTTTATGAGGTACATCAAATCAACGAAGCTCCTTTCAGACCGACACTTAGTCACAATAAAAGCTTGCTGTGTACCTGTGTAATTTCTTCATTTTTTTATCTGCAAAACACCTTTGGACCCATGTCTAATATAATCGGAAACTGTGATGAGACGTTCATTTTCATTAATTTCCGATGGTCAAGAGACTCTTTTAAAGCATATTAAGCACTGTGCTAATTTTCGAAATCCATCACTGGCTGACCTGTAGATGAAGGACTTTTCATAAGAACATAAGAACTGAGGAGCACTGCGGTGGCCTACTAACTCATGCTTGCTGCTTTTAAAGCACGTTTTTTTTATTGAACGCCTCCGCGGCCCGGTTCACGACCAGGCCTCCTGGTGGATCAGGACCTGATCAACCAGGCTGTTACTGCTGACCGTACGTAGTCCAACGTACGAACCACAGCCCGGCTGATCCGGTACTAACTTTAGGTATCCGTCCAGCTCCCTCTTAAAAGGCAGCCAGGGATCTATTGGTAATTCCCTTTATATCTAGTGGGAGGCTGTTGAACAGTCTTGGGGCCCGAACACTTACTGTGTTTTCTCTTAGTGTACTAATGGCGCCCCTGCTAATCAGCAGTAATAATTATTTTCAACATTCGTTCTCTAAGATCACTTATTTCACTCAAAAAAAATCTAGCTGTGTTGTTACTACTAAAGTTACTGAGGTTTAGTCAGGTTCAACTGATGATTACTGATGCCATCAGTAAAGATAAGAGTTCAACAATAACAGTGTTATTAAAACACAGATCAGTAATCATGCGTTTGTTTTAATTATATACTGTAAAATAAAATATATTATAAATAAGAAAGTATTTGTTGATTTATTCTTCCTCATGGAGGGAGGAGGGATCTTGATCAAGTGAATTGAACCTAATTACCTCTGGCTCCTCACTTCCTTGGCTCTATGTGACCTTAATGATTTAAATAATAATAATAATAATAATAATAATAATAATAATAATAATAATAATAATAATAATAATAATAATAATAATAATGAATATATCGGTTAGGTCACTAATGTTTTCGTGGGTCGGAGAACCACAACCTCCAATTAAATACCGGAATCACATGAGTAGGAGAAGGAGAAAGAGAATGTATCCTTGATCATGCGACATATGTGGTCGTTAAGACCACACCAAACTTGGTCGCGAAAACCTCACCTAACTGTCGTAAATTCCTCATCCGACGTAGTCGCAGGGAATACACTTGACGCGGTCATAAACACTATACTGGTGGGTCAGATAGGACCCATGCCTTATCACCCACACAAAGACAATTAAAGCTCTAGGACTATCAACTACATACGGTTATTTAAGAATGAAATTCACTTTGTCACTAGACAGAAATGGTTATAGAGGTAGTGATGTCCTCCTGTTCTCCGCGGCGCCCATTACCCTCTGTAAGACAAAACATGGCCGCTCCAGTCAACACAGACGAATGAGAGGAGTAAATACATTGCATCCTCAATACAAAACATTTATAGGTTAATAAATCTAAACTGGCCTCTGATCCCTTTTCTTGTGAGTTTGAAATTTGTATGATTTCTCACGTTGAGTAGTTGTGATGTTATAAACATTTTTAACTGAGTTCTTTACGGTTCAGGTGCGTATACAGTATCGGGGAATATACACCAAAATGTGAATCACTCTGAGAATATACATCTAATAGTTAGCATTCTTAAATATTTCAAGTTTTAAAGCATAATATCTAATTAGTGACTAAAACATTGCCTTAAATTTCTAACCGCACTTCATAGACGATTAACAAACAAATTCCTGTGAAGGTTTGCACACGCTGTTATTGGGACGACGTGTCGCTCTGGATACAACTCCATCATCCTTCACTCTTTCTTGTTTTTCTAAGTGTGTATTTTCTTCACTATTTAGGCCGGATGACATATGGATCCAAATTAATTCTTTGCGGCTGTCCAGTGGAAAAACAACTCATGCTGTGAATACTTATAATAGCAATAATAATAATAATAAAAGTAATATATTAACATAAATAATAATAATAAATATAATTATAGTAATAATAATAATAATAAATATAATTATAATAATAATAATATTAATAATAAATATAATTATTGTAATAATAATAATAATAATAATAATAATAATAATAATAATAATAATAATAATAATAATAAAACTGAAGGTAGTAGGTTGGTAGACAGCAACCACCCAGGGAAGTACTACCGTCCTGCCAGATGACTGTGAAACAAAAACCTGTAACTGTTTTGCATGATGGTAGGATTGCTGGTTTCTTTTTCTGTCTCATAAACACGCTAAGATAACAGGGATATCTTGCTACTCCTACTTACACTTTGGTCACACTTCACAGACACGCACATGCATATATATATATACATACATCTAGGTTTTTCTCCTTTTTCTAAATAGCTCTTGTTCTTTTTTATTTCTTCTATTGTCCATGGGGAAGTGGAAAAGAATCTTTCCTCCGTAAGCCATGCGTGTCGTATGAGGCGACTAAAATGCCGGGAGCAATGGGCTAGTAACCCCTTCTCCTGTATACAATTACTAAAAAAGAGAAGAAGAAAAACTTTATAAAACTGGGTTGCTTAAATGTGCGTGGATGTAGTGCGGATGACAAGAAACAGATGATTGCTGATGTTATGAATGAAAAGAAGTTGGATGTCCTGGCCCTAAGCGAAACAAAGCTGAAGGGGGTAGGAGAGTTTCAGTGGGGGGAAATAAATGGGATTAAATCTGGAGTATCTGAGAGAGTTAGAGCAAAGGAAGGGGTAGCAGTAATGTTAAATGATCAGTTATGGAAGGAGAAAAGAGAATATGAATGTGTAAATTCAAGAATTATGTGGATTAAAGTAAAGGTTGGATGCGAGAAGTGGGTCATAATAAGCGTGTATGCACCTGGAGAAGAGAGGAATGCAGAGGAGAGAGAGAGATTTTGGGAGATGTTAAGTGAATGTATAGGAGCCTTTGAACCAAGTGAGAGAGTAATTGTGGTAGGGGACTTGAATGCTAAAGTAGGAGAAACTTTTAGAGAGGGTGTGGTAGGTAAGTTTGGGGTGCCAGGTGTAAATGATAATGGGAGCCCTTTGATTGAACTTTGTATAGAAAGGGGTTTAGTTATAGGTAATACATATTTTAAGAAAAAGAGGATAAATAAGTATACACGATATGATGTAGGGCGAAATGACAGTAGTTTGTTGGATTATGTATTGGTAGATAAAAGACTGTTGAGTAGACTTCAGGATGTACATGTTTATAGAGGGGCCACAGATATATCAGATCACTTTCTAGTTGTAGCTACACTGAGAGTAAAAGGTAGATGGGATACAAGGAGAATAGAAGCATCAGGGAAGAGAGAGGTGAAGGTTTATAAACTAAAAGAGGAGGCAGTTAGGGTAAGATATAAACAGCTATTGGAGGATAGATGGGCTAATGAGAGCATAGGCAATGGGGTCGAAGAGGTATGGGGTAGGTTTAAAAATGTAGTGTTAGAGTGTTCAGCAGAAGTTTGTGGTTACAGGAAAGTGGGTGCAGGAGGGAAGAGGAGCGATTGGTGGAATGATGATGTAAAGAGAGTAGTAAGGGAGAAAAAGTTAGCATATGAGAAGTTTTTACAAAGTAGAAGTGATGCAAGGAGGGAAGAGTATATGGAG